CTGTATGTATTTCTATTCTACATGTGTAAATCTGTTCTGGTGATGCATCAATGATAATGTATCTGCCAGTGTGAGGTAAGTCAAGAGGAAGATGACCTTACTCTGAGGATCCTTCTTTGCATCACCTTCATGGGGCTCGAAATTCTTGTGTTACTAAAAACAAAATACAGGACGAAGTAAACCAAATCACTTATCTTTCTCCTCATCTTCCACTTGACACTGTGATGCCTGTAAATAATTTTTCTGTTGGAGTCTATAATTATACTAGACTGCCGTAATCACATAATTAAACACTCGCACGTTGATTGTCAAGCTGTGGATGAAGTGGGAAAGAGAAATGCTCTTTTGAATGAAATGTCATGCAGAGAATATATGCCTGCAATTGATTATTATATTCAGATGGGCTTTGTAGCTGTGTATCAACTGTGGTTTTCTGAAACTTTTCCGCCTTTTAATTGCACTGCCCTCATCTAAGTTGTCATTTGTAGGTATTTGTATAGCCACTGAGTTGTGCAAGGGCTAGTGTTACTCCCACATTAAGTTTTTAAAGCTATAACTTGTCAAAATTTGTACGTTCGGCATGTTTTTTCCTAAAGATAATCAATAAATGAAACCCTCAGGGTTTAGTAATAACCAATGTAGCCTTTGTTATTGTACATTTGCTTCAGTCAACTATATAAAGAAATCAGAAAAGTTGTACTATACTCCACAGCCGCTGACATTTTCATAAACTGTGATCATTTCGTTCTTTTCTCTAACTTCTACCTTCCTCCTCCCTCACAGCCGTGGCTGGGGCTGGTGCCTCGATGATGCCCCAGTGAAGGATAGGTTGTCTCTGTCTACGGTGCTTCCTGGCGTTCTGTACAGTGCTGTCCATCAGTGTCGGCTCCAGTATGGATCAGGATCCCTGCTCTGTGATGACATGGATGTAAGATTCTCTAAAATTACACAATTAAATGATAGTCTTTGTCCCGTAATCCTTAAAAATGTTCTTATGATGTTTTTGATCAACCCCAAAACCTTAACGACTGTTCCCTGATTCATCCTCTGTTCTTTCTTGACATGAGTTTCTTTTCTATGCACTATACATCTGTCTTTTTCCTTGGTTTTACTCTCTTATTTCTGACAAATTTTAAGGACATTAAATCACAATAGTGTGATTTAAAATATTACTCCACATAAACTGACTTTGGCAATATCTTTGGCCATTCCTCAGAACTGTCTGTCGGCTTGAATTAAACTAAGAGAACATATAAGGAAAACATTCTCCTCTCTGCACCAATTTCTGCGTTTCTTTAACCTCATTCCTCTGAGTGCAATGAAATAACAAAATGTTAATTCCAGCCTCACAACAACCACATAAATGTGTTGATTACAGTTACAACCTTTTAATAACACATAAGGCGAAAAAAATAGCCTAAAGAACTAATTTAAATGGACTAAACAGCCATTTTAAAATAACAGTGGTATCAGTCAGTTTAATATTTATTGAGTTCTTCCATGTGGCTGTTTTAATTTTGTGTCCATGACATGTACGTTGTGTACACGTACATACACTACCGGTCAAAAGTTTTAGAACACCTCAATTTTTCCAGTTATTTATTGCAAATAAGTCCAATGAATAGCTTCAAAGCTCCAAAACTTAAAAATAATTTACATTTCTGAATTATACAAAAAGGCCTTTTTCAGGGAACGCAAAATATGTTAACAATTTCAATCTGTTCTGCAGCAATGGAGGCTGATCAAGCCTTGAAAACTGGCGCTACTAATTCCTACAGGC